AAGGTCTGCTCCACGCTGGTTGCTGTGATGAACTTCTAGTGGATGGCTGGATCCAAACCCAATTACCTGGCTGGAATGGATGGTCTCCTCTGGAGGCAGCACCTGGGTCAGTGTGATCAGCTTCCACAGGTCGTTTCTGCAGGGCCCCCTCTTCCCTTTGTGGGTGACTCTCCCAGGAAAGGCTTGTTGGAGGATAAGAGATTGAGATAGCGTGGCGGGGTGTGTGTGTGGATAGCTTGCAGGCAGGGTTTGAAAAAGAAACATCAGTACTGCAGTTATTGAACCGATAAACCAGTCTCAACAAATGGGTAACGTTACAGATGGGAAGAAGAAGTTGGATTCACATGCTTAGGAAAAGGATGGACAGATAAAACCATTTAAACACATACAGTAAATGCAAGAATGAAACTTTTCCTGTAAATGGACTTAAAACATTCCCTCATAACTTTGGGCTGTTCTTAAAGGTACAGAGAGGGAAGGAAAAATGGTTCTCTTCACCATATTTTGTTGGCCAGACCAACCCATTGCTTTCATTCTTTTTTTTTTCCTCACAATTTAAAATTCTTATCTGTAGGGATCAGATACATTTAACTGTTGCAATTACTTCAAGGGCACACAAAGACTGAAAAACAGACACACAAACACACACGCAAACAAGGAGAAAGGAGAGGAAAACAGAACTCTTGGGTTTACACCCTGGTTTCCCACCATACATCTCAGTTAACTCAACTTAGGAAGGCAAAATCCTAATAAATATAACATGGTTGCACGGAAGACAGAAAGGAAGAGGGAGAACAAACTTAACAAACAACCCCCCCAACATTCCTATTTATAGGTTTCCATTTTCTTTTAAGTACCTTTATTTAGCCAAATTGGTTCTCCAGCTTCGTCTCTGAGCAGAGACCATTTCTCATAACTTGCACATGAGCTTCTTCCTCATTCCCGCCTGGGCGGGCAATTGCTTCTCATCCCAGGCATGAAGGAATTCCCCTTAGGGGGAGAATACCACAACCCTTGAGCTATAGCTGGATCTCCGGCAAATCGAGTCTCCTAAGGAAACTCGCCCCATCACAGTTTTCAGACAAAAAGGGTCCGGGAGGACTCTGATTCCCTTCCCAGAGTAAGGACGCCTCCTACCAAGGGAATATGGCTGTCAGTTTGAAGGCCAAAAAGGGGTCCGGAAGGAATCTACTGTTCTCTGAAGAGAGTAAGGGTGCCTCCTTCCCTGACATTTCAACCCACAGCAGTTTTTGGACTCAAGGAAGATGGGAGGACCTCTGCTTTCCTTCCTTGAGGTAAGGACCCCTTCTTCCTGCCACACTTTTCGAACTCAGGAGAGTCCAGGAGGACCTCTACGTGCTTTCCAGAGATAAGGACCCCTCCTAACAGGACTTCACTCAGTAACTTTCCAGCTGGTTGCCCACGTTCAACTCTCTCATTCACTTTTCCATTCCATTTTCACACAGTCTCTCCTTTCTCCCTAACAGAAGGTCTTGCGCTCTGGCGTGAGAGCTCCCTATACTTTCCAGGCTCTGTTGGTGGAACAGATCTATCCAGGGGTGGGATCTGGCTGGTATAACTATACCGGTTCTGTTGCTCTGCGTCACGCACGCTTTGCACGCGAGTGCAATTTACAACCTGCTGAACTGCCGGGACAGCTGAGCAGCGCTGCGTGCAAGTGCGCAGCGGTTGGAAAAGCCCTTTTCCCCTGCTTTTTCAACCTCAGCTATGTCGCGCAAAGCAGCTGCGGTTGAAAAATCAGGAAATAAAGGTCAGGTAACAGCCCGGGCGGCCGGGTGGGCCGAAACAGCAGCAGACATAGAACTGGTTGTATGTATGCTCTCTGTCTGCTGCTCTTTGGAACTACCGGTTCTACAGAGGTGGACAGAACTGGTAGAATCCCTCCCCTGGATCTATCTGAGCAGGGGTGGGATTCAAAATTTACCATCACCAGTTCTGTGGGCATGGCTTGGGTCATGTGACTGGGTGGGCGTAGCCAACTTGACATCACTCATGGCAAGGTGGGGGCGGCACCTTGCCATGAGTGACATTGGGCCACACCCACCCAGTCACATGACCGATGCTGCAGAGACAGGGCGATTGCCTACGTACCTTACCTTTCCTCCCCTTCCGCCCTTGGGCTGACAAAAAGAGGCGAAGACTTACTGAACTTTTCTGCAGCTCCTGTGCCCTGCCTGTCCCTTTATGGTCCCTCCTCCCCGATGCCTTGAAGTACCTTAAAAGGACAGACTGCGGCGGCTGACTTCCGAGCAGCAGTGGAGCGAAGGGAGGAAGAAAGATTTGCCCAAGTCTTCTCCTCCTTCTCCAGCATACACACACACCGAGTGTGCACACAACTCACGGCGCCGTAAGGACTCATGGCTCACCCACACACCATCTCCTCACAGAAAGTCCTCCCGGCACTGTGTGTGTGCTCTCTGTGTGTATGGGGAAGACTTTTCTGCCTCCCTTCACAACAAAGATTGTGCCTGCCTGTCCCTTTATCATCCCCCTCCCCTCCGTGTCAAAGTACCTTAAAGAGCAGGACGTCTTCCAAGCAGCAGCAGAGCGCCATGAGATGTCTGCATGCTCTATGTATGCCCATGAAGGAGAAGGCTTGGGCAAACTTTCCTGCCTCTTGCTCTTCTGACACACACTGGCCAGGCAAGTGAGCAGCACTGCATGGGGTGGAAGACAGCACAGTCTCAGCCATGCAGCTTCCCTGCCTGCCAGGAAGAAGAGCTCTCCCATTCTCTCTGCTCAGCCATGCGTTGACAGTATTTGCTTTCTATCTCTCTCTCTCTCTTAAGTGCTGACATCTGCTGTGGGCTATTTAGGAAGGTGGGGACTGCTTTCTCCCTCCAGGGAAATATAACATTCTGCCTTTTTAATGTTTCTCAAAATATTTCATTCTTCTAGGAGAGGAGTGGTTGCCAACTTTCCACACTACATATTCTTTCGCTCCCCAGATTTTATTCCATTGATGGTGCATGCTTTAAAACTGGTTCTCTTTCGTATTAGGGTACGTTAACTTGTGATTTTAGGGACATGTTTTTTTTTTCTTGGAAACTGCTAATGCCACTGCTGTCTTCTGTGATGATTTTTTTTTTTTAAACTTCCCTTATGTAGCAAACAAACACAGGATTTCCATTTAATATCCTGGTACAACTGTGCTTAACCTAAGATTTTTTAAATAATAGCTACCGAGCATCATTTGGGATGTTCAGTTTTATAGAAAGTCCTCACCTGCCACTTACAATGGTGCTGACAAAGTAGACCTTTGTGGCCCTCACAGTTATTTGGGGGGGGGGGGTGCCACTGGCTTGCAATTATGATACTTGCGGTGTCCCACAGTCCTGGAATCATCATTTGGAACCTTCAGAATTGGCTTCTGACAAACAAAATTGACAGGACGTTGCAAGTCACAGTCGTGGTATGGGAATTGGATAGTTAGTTCGGATTTGTGAGCTGTCCCCTTAAGGGAATGCGTCATGGTAAATGTAGTTAAGGTATCCTGGGAAATGTAATCCATGTCACGTGACCACATCTGTAATCCTGATTGGTCACTAAATTGACCCCTTGATGGGTTGGGGGAGGTTTCTTCACTCTTGCCTGAACTCACTGACTCGTGGTAGCTGCTCTTTCTACCGCGACGGGGATAAAGAGATAACTATCTTTTTACCTACAAAGACAGATATACAAAGGATTGGACATGAAGAAGAACTTTGTCATAAAGGTGAGTTATGAGGATACCTGATGAACCAATAATAAAGACTTTGTATGGATGCTTTGTTGAGTTTATCCATCTGGATCTGTACAGAGGACAAAATCTACCTCTGTACAGAAGGCAGAACAAAAAGAGTCAAAATATTATATTCCCCCAGAGGATTTCTTTTTATAACAAAGACAGAAAGCAGTCTGAACAGCTTTCAGCAAATGTCTGAAATCTTTAGAGATGGATGTTTTGTGCCCATTAAGAAACCCAGACCGGTCTTTTCACCAACAAAACACCTTCAGCTCCAGTTGATGGGATGAAAATTTGCATTCCCCCACCCAAATTCTAAGGACAGGATTTTGAGGACTTTTAGGACATAATGGATAGAAACTGATAAGTTCCAAGTGGGGAAGAAAGACACTGGAAACACGGCGACTGCTTGGAAAGATGGTTGAATGGTGGACAGGACTACATGGCTTGGAGATCCTGGGTAGAAAAGGAGGAGATGCTGAGAGTCCCTGGGTTTTATGCCCTCTGTTGGGCTTTGACTCTGTTGGGCTTCTCAGAGAAGCACAGAGCAGAAGACACAAGCCTGAAGATGATGAATGAGACTTCATCAAAACGTTGCCTAGCTACTTCCAATCTTACGCGGGAGAAAACCCAAATAACCAAAGACCCACATATACATATACATAAAAACACACACACACACACACACACACACACACACACACACACACACACACACACCGCTTTGCAGCCCTCTCTAAGTGGTTTACAGAGTCAGCATATTGTCCCCAATAATCTGGATCATCATTTTACCAACCTTGGAAGAATGGAAGCCCGAGTCAACCTTGAACAAGGGAGAATCGAATTGCCGAACTACAGGTAGCTGGCAGTCAGCAGAAATAACCTGCAGTGCTGCATTCTAACCACCACGCACCCCTGGCTCAGAGCCTGCCCATTACAGTCATGTCACAATAGTCATAGAACAATACCAATCCAATATTATGAATCCTTTCATGGTAGTCATTAATTGAATAATCAGATTAAGCCATCATTACGTAAACACCATGGTTCTTAAACAAACTGATGGTTTCCTATGGGTGCAGTTTTGCCAAGAGCTGATTTTCTGCAACAACCATTGCAAAAATGTGGTCACATGACCGTGGGATACTGCAAATAGTCAGTTGCCAGGTACCCCAAATTTTTGTCACATGACTGTGGAGGGGGTCTAACCGTCACAACTGCGAATCCAGGTTGTAAGTCCCCTTTTTCGAGTTGAAAAGGACTACCTGTATCAAGCTATTCTGATCGCCCTACCATCTTTTGTGTAAAAGTGCCACATTATAGCTTCCCCCTCACATGGATTTTCTGATGCCTGGACAGATTAAAGGAGCTGGAGAATGTTTTCTCACACGCGGAGCACCCATACGGCTTCTCGCCAGTGTGAGTCCGCATGTGCTTTTTCAGCCCTTGGCTCCACCGGAAGCTCTGCCCACATTCAGAACACATATAGGGCTTCTCTCCCGTGTGCGACCTCTCATGTTTGGCAAGCTGAGATCGCTGAATGAAACTATTCCCGCAGTAGGTACACTGGTACGGCTTCTCGCCAGTATGCGTCCTTTTATGGGCGGTGAAGTGAGAACTAGAAATGAAACATTTCCCACAATCCAGGCACTGGTAAGGTTTCTCGCCCGTGTGCGTCCGCTTGTGCGTGGTGAGGTGAGAACTGTAAGTGAAGCGTTTCCCGCACTCTGCGCACTGGTACGGTTTCTCCCCGGTGTGAATTCTCTCGTGCTTCCTCAGCTGGCAACTTGAAATGAAACTTTTCCCACAATCAGAGCAGACATAGGGCTTCTCCCCAGTGTGGGTCCTGGTGTGTGTAATAAGGTCCGACTTTTGATTGAAACTTTTACTGCAGACAGCGCATTGGTGAGGCCTCTCTCCCGTATGAGTCCACTTATGGATCACCAGATGCCGCGTCTGACTGAAGGTTTCTCCACAGTCTGCACATTTATAAGGCTTCTCCTCCTTGTGGGTTCCTTCGTGGATCACTAACTGTGGTCTGTACCGGAAACTCTGACCGCAATCAGAGCAACGGTAAGGTTTCTCGCCTGTGTGAACTCTCCGGTGCCTCAGGAGATTACAACGAGTGCCAAAGCTCTTCCCGCACTCGGAGCATTTGTATGGCTTCTCCCCAGTGTGAGTTCTCTCATGGATGAGGCAGCCGATTTTATCACGGAAGGTTTTGCCACACAACGAGCATTTGTAGGGCTTCTCCCCTGTATGGAACCTCTTGTGGATAATCAGAGATTCCTTCCGGGTGAAGCTTTTCCCACAGGTTGAGCATTTGTGGGGTTTCTCCCCTGTGTGGGTTTGCTCGTGAATAATCAGGTGGGCGCGGCAGTCAGAGAGCTTCCCACAGTATTGGCATTTGTGCAGTTTTTCCTTCAGTGGGACTTTCTGGCTCCTTGGAGGAGAGTCAAAAGTGGCCTTCATCCTCCTGCTGCTCTCCATCCCCTTGGGCAAGTCTGTCCCTTCTCCAAGGAAGTACTGTGGATGGTCGGAGCTTCCTAGAAGAACAAGCAAGTTAGGAGGATGTCAATTATGCTGCACAAAAATTCAACTCCAATCTCTTCGGAGTGGCACTCAGTGTCCACTGACTTCATGGATTACTCGCTTACAGGTGTTTTGACAGCAACACAGAAACTACAGGTAGACCTCAGCTTACAGCAGTTCATTTAGTGACTGTTCGAAGTTACAATGGTACTGGGAAAAGTGACTTATGACTGTTGTATCCTCCCCATGATCACGTCATTTATATTTGGATGCTTGGCAGCTAACTCACATTTATGACGATTGCAGCGTCCCAGGGTTACGCGATCCCCTTTTGCGATCTTCTGAGAAGCAAAGTCAGTGGGAGAGATGGATTCACTTAGCGACAGTGTGACTAATTTAACAACAGCAGTGATTCAGTTAATACGTTTGACCAGAAAAGTGGTAAAATAGGGCAAACCACACTTAAGAACTGTCTTGCTTAACAACATAACTTTGGGGCTCTATTGTGAGCGTAAGTCAAGAGCTGCTTGTAATTGTCACTTCCTTTTTCGGAGCACTTTTTCTCCCCCTGCACAATCTAACTTTCAGATCTTTTCTTCCCAATTTGCCTCCCATCCATGGACCCTCCAGGCTTCTCCTTCCTTAACGCCCCGGCCCAGGAAGGGCATCTAAGGGCTGCCACTTTCTCGCTTGCTAAAGTGGAGAAGCACATCAGAGACAAACTCTTGACCTGCATCCCAATTTTATGTGACTTTTGTGGTCATCTCAAATATCAATAAAAACAATCTGATTAAAAGTCTGTATGAATTCTCAGTCATCCAGGTCATGGTTGTCCCAAAGGTGCTTTTTAAAGAAGCAACTGGATCTTCTTGTTTTTTCTTTGAAGATAATTCGCTTCTCATCCAAGAAGCTTTAAGCTATACAATTTGGGATTAACACCCTGTGGGATATGAAGGCAGACAAATTGGTCAAGCAGATCCATGACAAATACAAGCCACAGAAGCCCCCAGGGGGAGGAAGAGGAAGTTAGCATGTGTTTAATCATCTTTTTGTGTTCTTTCTTGTCTTCTTCCAGGAACTCCTTTTCAAGGGGGGGCGCCTGTCAGCCCTGAAGCTGGCCTGACTGAGGCCGTTTTGGGATTTCAGTGCCGACACACCGTAGAAGAGGGTTAGGGAGGAGGGAATAGTTGGGTGTTGTAGCCAAAACAAAATGCTTTCTTGTGGGAACCAAGGACATTCCTACAGGTGCTCAGAAGGAGGGGCCTGGAATCACCTAGCAACTGGGCTGTAACTGATTCTTTTGAGAAAGTGACAAATTTTCACTTTTAATTAGGTGAAATCCGTGGGAATATTCAGTCCGTTTTCACTAGCCTGTGCCAATATGACATATCAAATAAAACTATTCTTTGAGGAAATTACCAGCCTTGAAGTTTTATTTGCTAACAGTATGTTACTTGGCACCCTGACACTTTAAGCTATACAATTTGGGATAAACAACCTTTGAATGGTGTGGGAGTAGGAAGGGATTTCCAGAGAAAAAATTGCAGACTATAGGAGCCAGGAGCCCTACTCAGGTGACCCTGAGAACACAGATAGACCTCCAAGTGTTTCAGCGGCCCTTTAAAAGGATGCAAATTACCTTCTGTCTGCAAGGAATATAAATCCTCCCATTCTCCAATATCCTGTCAGAGCTGAAGAAGCTTCTTGGATGAGAAGTGAAACATCTTCAAAAGAAAAAAGAAGAAAGTCCACTTGCCTCCTGAAAAAGCACCTTTGGGATGACCAATCTGATTGTTCCCTAACAACCTAGGGAGATGCATAAAGAAACAGAAAGAGAATGTTTTGGGCAAACCCTGCCTCACCTAAAGCAACTGCATCACTTGGACGATTGCAATAATTCAATTATTAAGCATGCAAAATATTATAGTGCATATTGGCAGCTTCCTGAGCAGCCCTGAACTGAACCTGAACATACAGTTGGCTAACTATGCCACAAAGGTATAGAAAGAACAAGTCAACATGTAAATTTCAGTATGTTAAAATATTTTTGATAATCCCATCTGGGTGACCTCCTTATCATTTATGCCTATCTACTAGATCATCCTGGCAACTATGTTCTCTCTGCTCCACCGCTAGAGAATTTTAAGAAGAGACTGCACAGCCACTTGTCTAAAACAGTACAGGGTCTCCTGGTTGAGCATGGGGTTAGACTAGAAGGCCTCCAAGGTTCCTCCCAACTCTGTTATTCTGTATCCTGAAATTCCAGTCTGATCCTTCCCCCTTTGGCCACTCAGGTTAAATTTAGCTTCCTGTGAATGTCTTATAACCATTCACTTAGTAACTGTTTGAATTTAAAACAGCATTGAAAAAAGTGACTTACAATTGGTACTTGCACTTACAACCGTGTTAAGAGTCTTCCAGTGGTGTTGATTTCTTTGGTTTGGTCTGTCAAGTAGGAATGAGCCTGAGGGACCTTTCATGGCTGAGGAGAGGCTGGAACGTGGGTGTCCCCGCTCCTAGTCCAGCAACCGCACCTTCCCCATGCAGCCCACCAGCTCTCTAATAGGAAAGCCATCCAGAGAGACTCCCTACTGCCCATTGGTCTCCTCCCCATCAATCACAGGAAGAATAAGACCACAAGGTGGTGAGGAATGAATGTGGGTAGTCCTCGCTTAGTGACCACAATTGGGACCAGCAATTCTTGTAGATTTGTGGTAACAGACGCCTTCCAGTATCTCAAAGGCCATGATCAGGACGTAGTTTCAGATTGATCAACCACGTTCTACCTGCGCTGACCAGATTTTACCCCCGGGTTTTTCAAAGCATTTTGCTCTACTCACTGTCTCCATCCATGGGGACCTCAACTTTCACAATATCCAACGGATCCAGTTCGGAATTGGAAGGTTTATCAGGAAAGTCCTCCAGATCTTCCTGGGTGTGAGAAACATGAAGATGTCTAAGGAGACAATTGGGACACATCTTCTCAACATCAGCCAACAGCTGGTACACAAACCAGAATCGACTGGAGATTCATTTCAGCCCTTCCCAAACTCTGCAAAATAGCAATAGCACTTAGACTTATATATCACTTCACAGTGCTTTATAGCCCTCTCTAAGCGGTTTACAGAGTCAGCATATTGCCCCCAATAACAATCTGGGTCCTCATTTTACTGACCTCGGAAAGATGGAAGGCTGAGCCAACCTTGAGTCTGGTAAGATTCGATTTGCCAAATTGCAGTCAGCTGGCAATCAGCAGAAGTAGCTTGCACCACAGTTCTTATGTAATTTTCAAAGACTACAAACCCACTGGGGTTCAGGAATCAATGATGTGACACAACTAAGCTGTAGTTGTCCAGAACACGTTTAAAATGTCTTAATTTTAGTATCTCAGACTGGCGATGATGGGAGAAGACCATCTCAGAATCTGAGAAGAATGCCAGTTAAAATGGATCCCATTTAGCCATTGTAATTTCTTCATTGTGCATAAAGAAATGTTGTACTTTCATCAAATTTAGGACTGGGGGCAGATATTAATGCAGCCAATTAATTAAAAAGATGACACTTTTGTAAACTGCAATTGACATCATCAGAGTCATAAAGTGGTTCAAATCCTGTAGGATTGAAATTGAAAATTTAAATTTATGATGAGAAGAAGCTGAGGAATTCAGCTTGGTTGTACAAACGCAGTCTAGGTTACAGGTATCTTAATTATTGTAATGTGCTAGAAACTGACTCTATGTGTTCAGGCCTCTCTTTAACAGCACCGCAGACTGAGATTTTGCTGAACTTACATAAGCAAAAGGTTCCAGCCATCTCAAAAGGACACACTTTAAACAAAGATATTGATAAGATTGAGTGAGTTCAGAAACAGGCAATAAAAATGGTGCACGATTTGAGGGTCAAAACATATCAGCAGAGCTTGGAGGACCTAAATATGTACTGTCTGAAGAGCTGTGGTGGTTCAGTGGCTAGAATGGAATACTGTAGGCCAGGAGTCCCCAACCACTGGGCCCCGGATCGGTACCAGTCTGTGGATCATTTTCTACCGAGCCGCCGGTTTGCTGGGTGCCGCCATCTTGTTTTGACAAGAAAGTGCTTCCGGGTGAGCTTTTCCGATTGGAAAGCGGCATTTGGGTCCTGAAGGAATCCTCATGCCTTAGTTTCATCGAAGGGGGGGGCGGGGGCGGCTTCGAACGAAGAGCCGTCCCGATGGCGCAGGAGATTAAGAAAGTACAAAAAAGCACAAAAAAGGTACAAACGAGGAGTTGAAGGTGGCGGGGAGAAGCGGGGGACGGCTGGCTGGTCGCTCGACCCGCCTTGCCTTGCCATGCATGCTGATGCTGGTACCAGGCCGCGGATCATTTTGTGATGCCGGTACCGGGCCGTGGCACAAAAAAGGTTGTGGGCCACTGCTGTAGGCTAATCCTACCAACTGCAGGCTGTCAAGTTTGGCAGTTTGAATCTCCCCAGCTGAAGATTGACTCAGTCTTCTATCCTTCCGAGGTCAGTACGATGAGGAGCCAGATTGTTGGGGGGCCAATATGCTCTCTCTGTAAACCACTTAGATAGGGCTGTAAAATTCTGTGTGCATACGCGCTATTGCTATTGCCTGAAAGATGGAAGTACAAAGGAGGACATGATTGAAACCCTGAAACATATTAAAGGAGTGAATAAGATTCTAGAAGGCAGTGTTTTCAATTTGAAGCAAAAATTAAGAACAGGGTGCAGTGGTGGGTTTCAAAAAATTTTCCTATCAGTTTGGGTGCGTGCACATCCACGCGCCACATGCGTGTTTTGCGCACGTGCATTTGTAACTCACGTTCTGCTGCAAGACCTGTGTGTAAAACAGCTGACAGGCGGCAATCTGCTGTGCTGCGCGAAGCAGCCAAGTTTGAAAACCAGCAAATAAAGGTGAGAATAGAGCCGGGGTGGGCAAACGTAGCAGCTGATCGTCAGAACAAACAGGTTTGCTCTCAGATGATCCTTGGAGCTACCAGTTCGGCTGAACCGGATCGAACCGGTAGAATACCACCACTGACATGGTGGCATGATCTCAAACTGACAGAAGAGAAGTTCACAAGCAGTGTTCGAAGGTATTACTTCCCAGAAAGAGTAGTGGAAGCTTGGAACAAATTGCCAGTGGAGGTAGCGGTAATCTTAGTTTAAACGTGCTCGGGATAAACACCCGTCTGTCATCCAACAAAAATAAAAAAATAAAATAACTCAAAGGACAGATTTGATGGACCACTAAGTCTTTTTCCGCCATCAGTTTTCTATGTTTCTATGTCTCAGCATACACACAGGGTTTATAACCTATTACAATTGCTTCTTTGATAAGAGGCTTTTAACCAGTTTCTCATGGCTCCGTTTTTTCCCACATCTGCATCACCAAATCTTTCTCTCAACCCTAATTAAAATTTAACCACGCCAAGCATCCAATGATGAGCTGCAGTTCAATAAAAGCTGATGTCTTTTAATAAAAAGTGCTACATGGAAACGCATCATCAGATTCCTTCTGAGTTTTTTGTCATTAAAAACACTCCCATGGCAGGCTACAGGTAGTCCTTGGCTTACAATAGTTTGTTTAGTGACTGTTCAAAGTTACAACAGCACTGAAAAAAGTGACTTATGACCATTTTTTATACTGATTGTTGCGCCATTCCAATGGTCACATGATCAAATTCAGAAACCTTGGCAACTGACTCATATTTATGACGGTTGCAGTGTCCTGGGGCCACGTATCTCCTTTTGCCACCTTCTGACAAGCAACGTCAACGGGAAAGCCAGATTCACTTAACAAACATATTACTAACTTAACAGCTGCAACGACTCACTTAACAAGAAAAGTTGCAAAATGGGGCAAACTCACTTAACAAATGTCTCACTTAATTAGGGGTTCAATTTTTGGCATAGCCTGAGCTCTAGAAGGGTGCCCAACGTGAAAATGATCCATGCTCACCCTCTGCTCATCTTGTGGCAGCCTCCGAAAGAAATCCTCAGCCAAAGCCACTGCCTTGTTCCCCGTCTCTGGACACTGTTCCCGAACCCACTTCTGCATTTCTAGCGGCAGGATCATCAGGAACTGCTCCAAGATCACCAGCTCCAGGATTTGCTCCTTAGAGTGACGCTCTGGCTTCAGCCACTGGCAGCAGAGGTCCCAGAGTTGACCAAACACTTTCTGAGGCCCTTCAGCTTCCTCAAAGCGAAACTGCCGGAAGCGCTGGCATCGTAGCGCCACACTGACATCCTTCACCAACTCTTCCTTCTCTTCCATTGGGAAATCCAGGCCTTTATAAAATCCGGGATCTTCCACACAACCTGGGCCTACCAAGGTTTCGGGTGCAGCTTTTCCTCTGAAGGACTGTTGATGGAGATCGGCCTTTCTGCTAAAAGGCGGCCTAGTGTTATTCTCTGCTGAGGACTGAGAAGATGGAGAGTTTCTTCCATCCAAATATGGAGCCCTCAGAGCTTCTCTTTTCTGGATCTCACACAACTGGTCCAGCCCCTCTTCTGGTTCTTGCTTAATCTGAGATGTAGTGAAACCCTTCAGACAATCCCACGTTGCCACAGTTTGAACTCTTCCCACCACTGGCGCTCTCTTTCCTGCCTGGGATCTGGGCAAGTCCCGTACCTCCATCTTTCTTCCTGGCAGGAATATAAATTATTATAATTACTTGTGTACAAAAGGGAAGCCAAGGATCCACAAAGGGTTGTTTCTCCCCAGTGTTCCTTGATGATCTGGATCCAGTTGATTTTCTACAAGCATTATGAAAATCCAGCAGGCATTCAAAATTAATAATCCTTGGGGAACTGCTTTAATGCTCGGGTTAATTTGATGGAGTGTATCACTTGAATGTAATTAATAAAATTAATGTAATTATTTCGTGAATGAAGGCAAATATATGTGTCCCAGGATAATGTTGCGAGATCCAGTCTGGGTTGACCACCCGGGGACCAGAGGTTTTGGCCTTCCTCGCTTTCAGATTTCGTGTTGGAGCCCATCTTCAGGGAACTTCTCTCCAGCTGCGTACTGCTCTGTGTGTGGTATTTATAGTTCACGCACCAAAACACAAGCAAGTGGTCAGACGAGGAAAGCCAAACTCATAGGTGGCCTCACACTGCAATGAACAAGGACACACATTCAATTTTGCAGCTAGTAACATTGTTGGACAAGCAGGCACAAAAACAGCCAGGGAAGTGATTGAAGCCGGGGAAACAGGCCCCTCATCAGTCAAACAGGAGTGCTGATTTACCGACCAGCCTATCACGTACTTAGAAGGTGAAGGGCTGGGCAGCACAAGCAAAGGACAGCCAATGACTTAAAAGCCAGCCACCAACACACCCCAATCAACATCTAAAAAGCCACATACAACAGGCATCATAAAGTCTGCACTACTATTACTGTTAATCTTCTCATCACTCCTTATCACCCATCCCCTCCCACTTATGACTGTATGACTGTAACTTTGTCACTTGTAACCTTACGATTTATATAGACTACTTCCTAGTATTGATTTGATTGTTTATTTATACCCTATGACTAAGTGTTGTACCTTGACGAATGTATCTTTTCCTTTATGTACACTGAGAGTATTTGCATAAAGACAAATTTTTGTGTGTCCAATCACACTTAGCCAATAAAGAATTCTATTCTATTCTATTCTATTCTATTCTATTCTATTCTATTCTATTCTATTCTATTCTATTC